AGCTGCTACATAATTTCTTCAATCGGATAACTGGTGAATGGCTTCTTAGAGACACTAGCTCTGACTATGCAAAATGGCTTTTGACCAGCGTTTCAGAGACGTCGTAATCGTCTATGGTTTCTCGACGACCTCGTTGAGCTCGTACCGCGAACCATGTTTCCGTGGGAAAATCTTCTGATGTCGTCGGTGTAGAAAGGCCTATGTAATTTTTTTGATAGAATAGAATGTGCTCTTCAATATGCAATTGAGCTCATTCGGTTTGGTTTTGGCAAAGTGTAATTAATTCTGTTTTGAATGTGAGTGGAGTGACTCTTTTTTTTTGCCCCCCCTGTAAACACGATAAGGATCCAATGTTTTGACTGTGAGTCCCGACCACTACCGTTGCGCTGTTTTGCTTCATAACTCCGTTCAGAGAATCGTTTAGCAGATTTGGAAGGGCGGATTCGAATCAGCGTTCCCAAGCACATACAGAAATATGCATCTCATTTTGAAAGGCCATGGCGACGTGGGACCCTTTCATTGTTAGTGAAATTATATCTCCTATAAACAGACATTAATGACTAATGTTCGAAATGAAAATCACTCACGCACTCTGGATTCACTACTTCGTCGCTTCATGCTTATTCCCGTTTCTAATAAAAAGGAGACGTTTTACGCGGTATTGTATGTGTTGCCCCGTATCTTGCGATAGCACCTTTTAATATTTCCATTTCAGGATTCCATAGCAGTTTCTTCACAAGAAAAGCGTGTCCACAATCTATTCACACTCGACTGTTTCTAATGTGGAGGCAATCTCGTTTCACTGCCTCAAATATTCGCGGCTTGATCGATTCAACCCCCACTATGTTATGAGATCTCAAAAAACTGTCGAAACCGGCAGTCGTAGTTCACCGGTCATTAAGTTGAAGGTCTAATGGGATTCCTCGTTGAAATTCACGTTGGCAGGCCGTTTCTTATCGTCAGTATAAATCTTAATGGGTTATTGTATTATCTTGACAATTCGATCGGGTTTCGGCAACGATCCTTTCCTTAGTTTCAGGGTCGACCAGCGCGTAATGGCAATAACTTATAATGACTGCCTTTGCTCGTGAGCACTTTTTTAGCCGAAACCACATCACGATGTTTGTTTGCTTCATCGTAAACGCATGTACTGGCCAAGGATGAGGCAGCCAAATTCACAATGGATTCCTCTGCAGGAAGCAATCCCAGCGCCGAGTGAAAGTCTTATCGCACCTCAGCAGCGAGCCGCAAGAAGCGGTGAAGCCGAAAACGTGCGAGCAAGGTCAAGCGTGGCGTTGGAGGAATCCTCCGACACGTCACAGGGGTGGCGGCAGGGTCAGTTCCCCCGCCTATCGCGTTGTTACTGTTTTAAGATTTTTTTACTCGACCCCGCCCTAACGCCAGGACTTGGTAACACGACGCCCCCTTAGTTCGACCCTCTCGACCATATTCTACTCTTATTAATATTTGGATCTGTAGACAAACTAAATGCCATTCGCCACCCACGTCAACGGCCACTTTTTTTCCTGACTCCAAAAATGCCGTCGACGTCAGCTTCGAGGGGGGGGGCTACTATCCATTCGTGAAACTCCCATAGCTTGCTCACATGGCACACCACACAATCACATGTACTATCAACGCGAGCGACTTACAGCGCGGATAGACGCCCCCCCTCATCTTAATATCAACGCAACTCGAGAGACGTACCAGCGGCGTGTACTAGAATAAGTAACAACGCCACAAGAGGGTTGACCACTTGGGCGCGGTCGTATAGCCCCCCTGGGATGTAAAGGTAGAATCGTGCCAGATTGACAGCAATTAGTTAATTATCTAGTATTCTGTTCGTTACCTCAACATTTATCGAACACGACTATCAAGTTTGAAGCGGGAATTCCCGACTAGATCTATCACCGAACGCCTTCTCAAGAGTTATATCAATTTTTCATGAAGTCCTATCGAATTCACCGATCGGATGTGAAGCACAGAGTCGCCACCCAAATTGGAAAGGCCCAACCATTGGTGTCTGTCTATCATGGCTACCAACTACCGGCTCTCTGAGAGATAACTGCTCAATTCCAGCAGAACAATCAAGAGGCCCAAATCAGGCCGGATCGCGAGACACTCACATTATAAAGTAAGCCATGTCTACTGTCTTCCACAATTCGGAGCACTAAGAAAATTTTACAAATCTTGAAGAGAAACACCACGAGATCCCGATTCTCCTACTTATTTCAGTATATCAGGGTGGTCAAAATGCTAGGTGTCTACCGAGCGTGCGCGCCGCCGGTCATATCACTTTTTTCCCGAGCCGCTTCCATTTCAAAACTTCCTTTCTTGTGCACCATACTCCATGACAGCGTAGCAGGTATTCTTCGCATTCGAATATCCTATATCTTCATGCCAATTCTCAAAACTATGAAAAGAATGGCAGAGCACCTATTGGTCATTCCTCAAATCTGTAACGACCTTGCGAACTGGCTCTGGCACCGTTGCACCCTAGAGGCAGTCTAACGTATCAGGAAAGCTCCCGTGGGTAGAGAGACCTTCCCCAAGCGATCCTGTCAATAGGAACTATCCCATTTCGGTGCCACTGACGCACGACACCAACCACCCACAGACCGAGATGGGAAAAATCTCGGAAGACATCGAAAGTTACAGTTAAGCATCAGGCAATGTATGGCACGAAGATATAACTTCCTGCAATTCCCCCCGCCCCTTGTCGACTTTCTTTTGGCGCTTCGGCTGGGACCGTATGCTGAATGTTGGGGAGGGGATGGAGTCCCCGACGGTGGACGGACCACTTCAACTCGGTCCTTAGAACCGCCACAATTTGGTGCTTACCTCAGAACTAAGCCTTAAAGAGAGGACGGGTCCGTCCCCTCTCCAAGGCTTAGTCCTGGGGTGAGCAAACCAGCCCTTCTGGCGGAGCTGCTGGACCAGCTGCACCACTTGCGTCAGTACTCTCCTATCGTACCAACCGAGTTGAAGTAAACCGTCGACCGTTGGGGACCCCATCCCCTCCCCAACATTCAGCATACGGTCCCAGCCGAAACGCCAAAAGGGCTGGTTTGCTTACCTCAAATCGCGTTAACACATACATGTAAGGAATTGTTGTTTATTTATTCAACGTGAGGTGACTCATGTCTTAAGAACCTGATTGCAGAACACTGAATAACTTCCGGCACAACAAAAAAAAAACATGAAAATAAATAAATAAAACAAGACTTCTGACATTGATGCGAGACCAGAAAGTTGAGAAACAAAAATGGGAGAGAGGTGAAGATAAACAACATAAAGAACAATATGATGGAAGGAAGTCATCATTGGCTCTAGGTACTAGTTGAAAGACTTCTTGAAAAACTAGAAAGACTCAGAGGCATGCTTTTCCTTTGTTCAGGGCAAAATAAAGAGAGTGAACACGATTTACGAAGAAATGCGAACGGCAGCTGAGTCGAGACTTAGGAAGAAGCAGTTTGAACGGTTGCCGTAGTGGATGCTTGAACGGTACAAAAAGTATTAAGATGGAGGCAATGTAAGCCTTGAAGAATTTTATGAAACGTCAGGAGGCCAAACTTTTTCCTTCGCCAGCAAGTGAACGAAGGCCAAAATTAGCAGTTCGGGCTGATATCTGGTTTTAGGGGTGCCCAGTGGCTGAAAAAAATTCGCAATTCTATGCAACTCATTTTTTATGAACAGGGGAGATAGCGTAATGCGTGTGCTTGTGGTGTGTGGGGGGGGGAAGGGGAAAAGTAGGTTTATTTCCTCGTGTTCAAGTGGAAATGGGACAGAAAATTGTGTGGATGAGGAGGTGATTTTTTCACAAAGTATTTTGTGAAGCAGAGGTGTCTAAAGAGGTAAGAATAAAGGTGGTGATCGAAAGTGGGAGCACAAGCAGCAGCGGAAATATGTTAAACGAAGTGGATTAATGTTGAGGTGTTGATGAGAACAGTACAGATGCGCTGGATGGGAGGTAAGGCGATAAGTAAGCCTGAGCAGAATCAAAATCACGCCGTCATCAGGTAAACGAGATTCGAAGAAAATAAGCGACTTGGCGAGTCCTACAGAAAGATGGGGATAAGGAAAAAGCGGTGTCGGCCAGATGTTCCGACTAAAGAGTGAATTTCTTGCCAATCCGATGCAGAATTCCCTCTACTACCATCGCTGCCGTCCATGCTCCTGCAAGACCGCCCAGTCCACCCCCCATGAGTGCACCAGCAACAATACTGGGAATGGAAGGGTGAACAGCCATGGCGGCTGACGCTCCTCCGAAAGCTCCTAAACAACGTGTTTTGGGTAAGTTTGCATAGTGGAGTTCTTTACTGCAATACGATTTCACAAAACGTCGCTTACCGTAGTATCCACCGTGGCCTGCTCCGTAAACAAAAAATGCGGGCGTTACAGTGCTCCTCAGGAGACTGCCAGTCAGAACTTGGTGCCTGAATTTCCATGCCAGCAGTGTACATCCCGCGGCTATTGTTGTAGATGCTACCTTGATTGTAGCTACATTGATTGAAGCTTTAGCTGCGATTGCAAGCTTCCTCGTGACCTAAATCAAATAAATTTCCTACACCGTATAGCTCAGTTCTCCGCAAGCTCATGTATAGATAGCACTTGAAAACAACGCTACTAATCTGAACGGAAATCGAGTATGTGGCGCGCCACCAAGCAAAAAATAAAAGCACACGTGAAAGCGTAGCTTCTACCGCCTTCAGTTCATCCAGCGGTGTAGCGAGGTTATTCAGGTGAACTCGTTAAACTAGTGTCCCCTATAGGGTTGCAGAAAGGAAGCCGTTCTATCACTCCAGCACACCATTTCGAATGAGTCATTCTTTGGTAGACTGCGAAACATTGACAGACGCGTTATCCTGTTGGGAAGCATGCAACCTTTGCCGCGTTTCTCTAGGAAGAAGGCAACAGGTGATATTGAAGCCCTGCTTGGCATTCCTTGCTTTCGTAATGATTGAACGGCAACTTCCAACTTCGCGTTACTTGCGAAACCGCCCCAGACCATTAACGAGCGTTCTCCGAAATTCTTTCGAGAACGTAGCCGTTCCAACGTAAGCCGTTTACCCCCAAGCCCCTGTAGTGGTGACGAAATCCATCAGGCTTGACAAAATCGGAACTCTTTTCATGACTTAAGGTTACTTAAGAGGAAAATGTGCATAAAAAGTTTTTTTCAAATAGAGAATTCTTGAAAAACTGTGTCTCACCCTCCTATCCTATCCTATGTTGCCATTTTTTTATGGGCGGCATCCTATTGCTGACTTTTTCTGGGCCTTCAAAAGAGCAACTTTTCTCTGCGTCTATCGAGTGACGGGCTTTGGTTTGAGCGAATGGTCATTCTGAATGCTACTAACGCATCTGAGCTAAGACAGACAACGAAGAATTCGACAGGATACGGGCTACTCTTTTGTTGCCTTCGAGCAGTCGCAAGGATCGTGGTCGAAAAGTGTGCTGAGTATAATTATCAGGGTAAGGGATGAATCTTCCAATGTATGAAGGAGAACGACTGAGTTGCGAGTTCTCGATTGGACCGTCAGCAGTACCATGCCAAGCCCTGATCTGAGCTTGTTCGTCTTGAGGAAGAGGTATGACGACGAAATGAAAGCGGCAAATTTGGATCGGAAACTGGTGAACATTCGGTGCGCAAAATCTCTGTTGTCAAGTGGTGCCACCTTACTGTAGCGAAGAGATGAAAATTGCTATCTGAAATTTTCATTCGCGGAAGTGAGAGCTGGTATATCTGCTTAATTTGATTTTTATACGTCATCGAATACGGGGAATTGATTGAGGGATGGTTTCATAGCACGAAGTCTCCCAAATACCTTTCAAATGTCGAATATCAATAATATTTATCCATAACATTCCTCTGTGCTTCTTGTCTAATTAAAAAAATAATAACACATTCAAAATATCTGTATAACACAGAGAGGCACTAAAATTTTATTTCAAAAGAATTCCAAAAGTTCAGAAAGTTCAAAAATCCAAAAAATCAAATCAGATTTTCTCTTCACTCCAAAGGCGCGGCTCCCGTAAGGGCAGCTTTACACTTGGCAGTGGCAAACACATGCCTGAAGAAGGTGTTAAACACCGAAATATCGCGGAAGATTTCAAAAGGATTCTTTTTCAAATAGCTTTTTGCTCTTTTGAACTTTGGAGTTTTTGGAATTTTTGAACTTTCTGAACTTTTGGAATTCTTTTGAAATAAAATTTTGGTGCCTCTCTGTGTTATACAATATTTAGGTGCTGATGAGGCTCCGGGACAGCACAATATTAAGAGAATAACACATCACTTCGATCCTGACCGGTGCCTTTGAGTACCATCTAGTTCCTTAACATCATTGGCTACGTTCTCTAAATATGGCGGGTTCTTAAGAGAAGGAACTACGGCAGTGCTTGAACACTTACCCGTTAAGTTTTTGTTTAACCATGCGTTGACAGAAAACTCACCCACTTCATGAGCTTCGTAGTGTTCACCACAACGAAATGTACCACTTCGTTCCTGGTCGCCTCATCACTATTTTTGACCACTTCTTCTTCTTCTGCCGCTGGTGTTTTATCGGAGTCCTCATCCATGGATAATCTGCTTAAAGGCAGCATTATTTTGAGTAGCGTCTGGTTAAAGGCTAGGTCGCTCGATTTGGGATATATATAGTCACTGAGTGTATAGATGCGAACATTCCGGCAGTGGAAAGAAAACGAAAAGAAATCGTCAAGATGACCGTGAATAGAACCCGTTCTTCAATAACAGCCACGTACCAAACCGTCACATTGGACTGACGACCTCCCCTCTTGAATAGACTCCATACGCCCCTCCCCCAGCACGTATTTATGTACCGCACACTGTCGAGGAAAAGGCTAACATTAGGGAAGTGCAACCTCCAGAAAATAACGAAGCACTTAGCTTGAATTTGAACCAGTGTCACGCGTGCGTTGAGGAATCTTCAACAGGTGAACAAGGGGAGGGGGGGGGGTCGTATTGGCCCGCTGGGAGGAAGGATCGGGCCGGATCGATGCAGTAGGATCATCACTCGGAGGACAAACATCAAGGATCGATCGATGCTGTGCAAGCCCGAGGATTTCCAATAACAATGTTATTCCACCCACATAAAATTTTCGTGATTCGAGGGGTCCGCGTAGTAATTCTTAGCTACTTCAGTGATTTATCACGACAAGGTTGAAGAATCCGAAATTCGCACGTTTTAAGGGATATTTTATCTTTCAAATGAGTCCTCCAATATGAAGGGATGTGAAGCACACGGCGCATCCCAGAGTGGGCCCAGTGGTTGCGCGCGCTTCAACTACGGCTCTCTGGAGAAAAAAAAAATCTCATTTAGGAAAAATCAAGAGGATTCTGAAAGGGTCCGTGTGAAATTACAGGGAGGAATCCACTATTCAACAAGAAATGCAGTCTTCAG